TGCCCAACCACACCTGCTTCAAGCTTCCGGTTGTGCAGCCGGGCGAGGAGAAAGTCCCCCCCAGACTTTTTGGAATGACCCTGGAAGTCAGAGGTTTGTATCATGACCTCCAGCTGATCCCCTACATGCCACTGTCCCCCTTTCCTCCCTGGTAGAATGGTGAAGGTGCTGTGGGCTGGATCACTGGTCTGCTCCAGGGAAATAGGAGCTGACAAAAGTGGAGTTTCAGGCCAAGCAGTGGAGTCGAGTATGAGACGTTCCTCCAGAGCGTCCTCGGGGGACAGTGGCTGGAAGGTGCAGAAGCTGCGATTCATGACGGGGTCAGTGGAGACTGACTGATGATCCACCATGATGATGATGGATTTAGGCTGAAACTGGCAGGGGGTTGAGAGAGACAGATGGTGTCAAAGATGCAACAAATAATTAACTAAATGCAGCAAAAGTGCAAAGGTGGAAGATTTATCCCTCCCCAAATCTCAAAATGGCTTTGGAGAGTTGGTAAGAATGATTTAAATGTATGTTTTTCACCCTTCTCAACTTCCGCCATGGCCCTTACTCTGTTGTCAACATTGACCCATGTATGGAATTCAAATCTTCAAGGTTTTCAAGGTCTTTTTAAATGAAATTCATATTTTGGGATATGTGGCCAAGAAGCACTAGAGGATGTTTCATGCCCAATGGTTTAACAATACAGTGGAAGACTTTCATAGCTGAAAGATGTATTGAATTATTAATGCTTATAAAATGGATTGAACCACTAACGGTACAAAAGAGACAATTAGTCGTTTCACAAATACCACTGATGAGAGAATTCAAGCCATTAAACCTCAAAGTCCTCCCTTTAGTGCCCAGCTGTTTTGGGGCATGGCATGGCTTTTTATAAACTATATATTTGCGACCCATTTCTGAAGATTTAGGTCTTCAGTAAGAACGAATGGGAAGCAGGTTGTGTAAAGTATAGAATACTGCCAGCTTTAACCTTTAACTGGAAGAGATGCAGGATTGAGAGTGATAACACCATTTAACTGCATTAACTTGCCGGGCTCCATTGGATATGAATTTTAATCCAAGTTAATCCAGAAACAGACGAATATCAAACATTTCAAACAGGGTCCACCCTTCAAACAGATCCCACTAAAACTTAAAAGTTCTCACCCCCAGAACGTCCATGTGTCGTAGCACAAAGATGAAGACAAAGACAGCCAGAAAGAGGAGGAGGACGCCGTACTCCCTTCTTAAACAAGCATTGGCCGTCATGATTGGTGATCAGTTCTCATCTGTGGGCCGATCACTTTCTCTGGTACTGTAATGATAAATTTCTACTTAGTATATATTTCTACTTAGTATATTGTCTAAATGCCTAAGCACTTGTACTTTTGCTCTGAACTCAGTCCACCTTCACCCTTTGTGTTAACATACATGCTCAAATGTATCTTGCTGTTGGGTAATGGAAATATTCTTATAAGTATTTTATATTCTTATAAGTAAACTGTTTTATAACTTGTTTTCCAACAAGCTATCATAAGCTTGCATCATGTAACTTGTGATCCATGCAGCAGCTGACTGCCTGCACACATATTCTCTTCTTCTCTGTGTTGGATAACAAGTAAAAATTCACATGTTCTATGCTCCAAGGATACAAGATGTGTGTCTACATAGATAACTCGATTAACTGCCACAGAGATAACTCGATTAACTGCCACAGCCTTCATGGCCTGATACAGGATGTTCCTGTAAACAGGCCCCCACGCTTGATCGCTCTCTTTGTAACTCTGTGTGACATTAACATGGTATCGCACACTTAGACTCTTTGTGACTCTGTGTAACTGTGCCTCTTCTTGCAAGAATAATTACTTTTAAAAGAGAAGTTCTGTTTGACGATATTCTATATTTCAGTTTAAAAAGACTCAACAGCGGGTAAAATAATTTTCTACCACTGAATTAAAAAAGAAAGTAGAAAAACAAAGGGGAAGCCGGCACCTTGTAATGCTAAATAATATTATATGTTAAAACTTGAACTCCATTGTGGAGTCATCTCAATACAAATATTGTGACACCACCAGCTTTCCAGTTATTATTTGAAAAATATACGACTCTGAAGTCAGTGTAAACCATCACAAATTCTAAATGTTATCCTTTTACTCTGTTGTAGTAATTTATAGTTAAGTTTTTTTTCTTCATATAAACACATAATGCAAATGATAAGGAAATAAAAGATTGTATGTTTGGTTTAAACAAATTGTAATGATGTATTATACGCTGCCTGGAGCTGGTGTTAGGAAGTCAAATAGCTCATAATTCATCTCTAATATCTATTTATATTGTTGTGTAAACATCTCCTTCATACAACTGGATTTAGTCAAGTTTCTCACCAACACTACATTTTACGAGATTACATGTGAACACATCACAACGTTCGCTCACTCATTTCCCTCGTTTCCTATGAACTCGGTTAAACCATCTTGCTTTTCTTTCTTCCTCCTATTGCCTCTGCCACTTTTCCTTTCGACCTGTTTTGATTGTGGTCTATCATGCACTGAAGCGGACTGCAAAATGAGTGCAGCTTTATCTCCCATTCCATTTCCTTTGATACAGCCACACCCGTTGCCGACACCGCGATAGCAACGCGTCTGTTTGAATTCTGCATAAATGTGGTCTGTGGTGTATAAACAGGGATGTCTGCCGTCTGAAGATGGCTAGTGATGAACTTGAATCTTAAGAAATCATTACCCTCGATGGTCTTGTGTCCTCTATCTACTATAAATCGAACCTTATTGCCAGCATTCTCCCCGTGTATCATTTAAACTATTTTGACATTAAATTGTGCAACAATAACTGCTACTCCTACCTTGTTTACGGAACTCTTTGATACGTCTGAAAACCCGGACATACAGTAAGTGCGGTGTATGTCAATGTGCGCCTGTTTTGCATAAACGGCAATAACCCCTCTACTTTTTTCCCCCCATTTTAAAAATAAAAAGTCTTATTTTGCATCAGGAAGTATCCACGGTGCTATCGCTGCCATTGGAACTTTTGGAGTGACATGTAATGTTAAATTCTGTTACTTTTTTTGTGCATCCAAAAGCTTCTTGTCTCCCTCCTCCCCTTTTCCCAGCAAGGTTTTAAAGTGTCCTGTGTTGGGTGCACTTTACTGTGGACCTGTAGATTAGCCCAACAATTCAATGTTAACTGAGTTCTTCTTATTTCTAGAGGCATTTCTCCCATTTTCACCTGTAATGCAGCCGTTGGGGTTGTATTAAAAGCACCAGTTTATCATCTCATTGCCTGATACACATATATATATACACACACACACACACACACATATATATATATATATATATACAATTTCTTTGTAAATCCCAAATCTTGTGAAAAATGTCCTGTTAAACTGATAAACTATGGCAATGTGCCAAGAACAAACAGACAGATGAAGTTCAGTTTAGTTCAGCTTTCAGATACTGCAGTATTGAAAATATAACACAGTAATATATAATTCTTCTGCACAATGTGTAGGCCTACTTCTACTTTAGTTACTTGAAGTATATCATGACGGTGATACTTTTGCACATTTACCTGCCTTTTATAGACTGATCATGTTTTTAACTTTATGTAATGACAAAGTATCCAGTAACTACAGTCGAGTAAATGTGATGGAGTACAAAGTAGTAATGGAGTATAGCATGAAGCAGAAGTAGTAGAAGTAAAATAGTACCTCAAAATTGTACACATGTACAGTATATTCGAATGGTTACTGGCAACATTTAGTTTTCATTATTAAATGAAAATTGAAATAAACTTAGTTGAAGTGTTTCATGTGTCTTACCTCAGCAGAGATTCACTATCACAGTGATACAATCTCAGTGTGATCCGTCACTTTATCCCTCTCTGGTTTACTGGAAGCTGTGTTCTCTTTGTTTGACTTCCAGGTTTTGTATTTAAGGGTTACCACCCACAGCACTGTATCCTGAATCAGCTTGAATCAAATAAACAACAGTAACTCAGGATGTTGATTACCTAATTTCCGTTAACACTCTCCTGTGCCGAAAGAGCTGCCCCAGAGTGTCTTTTACAGGCTGTTAATGAAAAATAAAATATAAATAAGAAACATTTTAATTGTAAAGTTTAATTGAAAATTCATGTCATTTGATGAAATTCATGAAAACAACATTTATTTACTAAGAAAAAAAAAATCATTATTATATGTAAGAAAAAAAGAATGCTGTCTACAGCCCAATCCCAATCTCCACACTCACTGACCGACGGACTTTGAGGCACGCTACAGCAAACTCACGGACTTTGAAGCGCGCTCTCTCAAACTCACAGACTTTGAGGCGCGCTCTCGCAAACTCACGGACTTTGAGGGGCGCTCTCGCAAAATCCGTGAGGGTTTAAGGCTGTCAAATCATCGAGTGTTTGAGGGCTCTCTCGCAGACATTTTAATCCCTTTATGAACCCTTTCCGTAAATCAGCATTTCTGCAGACTAAAGGGTACATCCCAAGTCTCTTAATTCCCTGGTTCCCTCACTTCCATGCGAGGAAAGAGGAAACGAGGAAATATGTTTTAAGAGATATGAGATGTCCTTTCCTCAGTTGCATCACATGAAGCAACGTCTGTTTCTGATGACGGCGGCCGCTGATCACAGCTGGATCAGCTGTCAACAGCTGGAGAGACTTTTGAGAAGTTTGTGTCTGTACACATGATCACTGTAGCCTACTTAACAATAGTAACTAATAATACTACAAACTAATGAAGACACAGTAAAAGGTGTTTCTCTCTGTAGCCTGTTACCTATTTAACAAACTGTCCTGTTTATAAGTGCAGGATCGATTTCTACCCACGGAATGCGATTCATTTATTTGTGAATTATTTGCCAATTATAATACTGGAATTCATTTATTAGGCTTAATGTTTCAGGTTAAATTGAAATTATAAAACTCTTCAAACCCGACATTCAGGAATGATCAGCCTCACGTGACTGAATGAAATGATGATAAATGATAAGCTCTCTCTGACTTTTAATTGTATCCATAATAAAAGTTATTGATGGAAATATCAGATCATCAAAAGACATGATCTGATATAACAACATGAAAGTTGTTTGTGGTTGTTGTTCAGACTACAATGAACATCTATTTAAACCAGATGGTGAATCAGAAAACTAATCACATATAAAACTAGAGTTTAATCTCTGATCTGTCTTCACTCTGGTATGAAACTCCAGTCAGTCAGTCAGTCCGATCGGCTGCAGCGTCCAATCACATAACTGATGAACAATGAGGGGGCGTGTCGGCCGTAAAAACACTTCCTGTAAGGCTGTTCTCGTGCGTCCTCGCTCACGGCTCCTCAGATCAGAAATAAGAGCTTTGGGACGGCCGTCAATATGGCGGCGCAGAACAACTTTCGGTTCAAGTGAGGATCGAGGAAATGACAAATGAGAGACTTTGGCCCAATCCCAATGTCCGCCCTAAATCCTCAAACCCTGAACCCTCAGGGACTTACTGACGTCACCTGGTAAATTGATGAGTGTGAGAGACTGCGAGGGCTTGAAACGGTGTAAATAGGAATGGGACAGCACTTTGTTGCAACATATCACGTTACCATGACAACGACAAAAAATATGATGTATAATTGTGTGTATTTATTTTATACTTTGTACTCCCTGATTTGAAAGTCTTCCAGGCTCTTTTCTCACGAGATGAGGTCATTTCTTATAATCTATTTACTCGTTTTTGTCAAATCAGCTTCAATGACAAAATCAAATATTTGATGAATAAATAAATAAATAAATATCCTCTGATTTCATGTGTTTTTTTGTTCCATCTTTAACCCTTAATGTTTCTGAGTACATTTAATATTCCAGGCTGAACACATGTGAGCCGTCCTCTTTGTTTACCCTTATTTTTACATCTCCAAACTTACGGACTCATGGACTTTGAGGCGTGCTCCCGCGAAGTTGATAGATACAGGGAGTCAGGTTAGCACTATTTCGTAATCTTTCTTGATCCAGCTTGATCCAGACTGGAGGGAAGTATTTCAGCGTGTACAGACATGTGAGGTAGCAGAGAAAATATCTGCAGCTATAGACACGTACCAGCTGGTTCTGTTGCCACAGTCTATGCAAACGGAATCAAACTAGCATCTGGTGATAGCACATATTTGGTGTTGGAGCCAGCTAAGACACCATTGCCGGGTGGTCTTGTGGTCGTGCCCACTTTGATAGAGGCTAGGCGTGTGTTCCCAGTGCAGGTGGTAAACTTCTCTCAGGAGGATGTATGGTTGCAGCCTAGGACCAGATTAGGCATTATGTCTCCGGTGGAGTGTGTTGAAAATGACCAGACAGAGGTGCGCTTCCAGCGTATCTCAGCTGACCAGGAAGACAACTCAGAAGCATGCAATGATGTTCAGTCAATACTGGACCGGCTGCACATAAGTGGTACAGAGGAAGAGCAGGCTAAGATAGCCGTGCTCCTAGCTCAGTATGCAGATGCGTTTGCTTTCCAGGATGAGGACCTATGTTACACAGACCGGGTTAAACATGAGATCCATCTGGTAGATGACATACCCGTAGCACAGCCCTCCCACCGTATACCCCCTACACACAGTATAGCGAGGTCAGGGAGCACATCACTCAGCTTCTAAAGAAGGGTGTTATCCATGAAAGCACAAGTGCATATGTTTCACCGGTGGTTTTAGTCAGAAAATCTGATGGTAGTCTGTGGTATGTGTGGAATACAGGAAATTAAACTCAAAGACCCGACGTGACGCTTTTCCTTTGCCTCGCATTGATGCCCCGACGGTGCGAGATTCTTTTCGACTATCGACCATGAGGATGACAGGCATAAAACGGCCTTTACAACACCAACACGCAAAGAGGACGGCTCACGTGTGTTCAGCCCGTCATATTAAATGTATTCAGAAACATTAATGGTTAAAGATGGAACCAAAAAAAGGAGGATGATATTTATTTATTTATTCATCAAATATTTGATTTTGTCATTGAAGCTGTTTTGACAAAAACGAGTAAATAGATTATATGAAATTGCCTCTCAGCTTGTGAGGAAAGAGCCTGGAAGATGTTCAAATCAGGAGTAAAAAATATAAAATAAATACCCACAATTATATATCGTATTTTTTGTCGTTGTCATAGTAACATATGTTGCAGCAAAGTGCTGTCATATTCCTATTTACACCATTTCAAGCCCTCATAGTCTCTCACAGTCAATCACTTACCAGGTTACGTCAGCAAGTCCCTGAGGGTTCAAGGTTTGAGGCCTTAGGGGGGACATTGGGAATGGGCCTTGGCATGTACCCACTGCCTCCAGGGAATTACCCACAATTCATAGCAATGTGACGTCAAACACAGGGTTACCAGTGTTGGAGAAAACAAAGGTGAACAAAGAGGACAGCACACGTGTGTTCAGGCTGTCATATTTCATTTACACAGAAACATGAAGGATTAAAGATGAAAGGATTAAACGTAAATACACATGAAATCAGAGGAATGGAAGCGGATATTACATTCATCAAGCATTTAATTTTGTCATTGAAGCTGTTTTGACAAAAATGAGTAAAAAGATTATTTGTAATTATCTCTCATCTTGTGAGGAAGGAGCCTGGAAGACATTCAAATCAGGTAATAAAAAGTATCAAATAAATATCCACAGTTATACATAACATGGCATGACGTCATGGTAAGATGATATGTTGCAGCAAAGTCCCATTCGTATTTACACCATTTCAAGCCCTCACAGTCTCTCACACTCAACCGTTTAACAGGTGACGTCAGTAAGTCCCTGATGGTTCAGGGTTTAAGGCCTTGAGGACATTGGGTGTAGTGACTGATTCCAGCAACTAGCCCCTCGGCTGGGTGCGGGAGAAGATCCTGTCCTTACTCGCTTGAACAAAGAGTTTCCAGGCATTTCACACTTTTGGGTGAGGTTCCCGTTTAATTAGTGTTCACAGATGATAACACAATAGGATAGCACTTATCTTCCTGGTCTCCCTCTGGTGTGTCTGGCTTGCGGTAAAAACCGTGCAATCTCCCCGTCACCCATGCATCATCACCTGTCTGTTACCAACGTGTGACCCAATGTTAGGTCATGACCTTAGATGATGACGTTCGCCATTCGGTCCCTTTTACCGCTGGATCTTCTGAGGAAATGGGCTGTGGATTTAAGTGTCTTGGCCAATCCAACTCTTACATGCTATGAAGTTATCCACTGTCAGACCTCTGAAGTCCTTTGGTTTGATACAGCGGTCCACTTTAAGCTCTGCCACCATCTCCAGATCCAGCAGCCATCCTGTCCATTGCTGTGAGAATGTCTGGGGAATATGGTCGCCCCAGGACATGTTTTTTCCACACCTTTCTTGCAACAACAGGTTTGGTAGGTTGAAGGTGCTAGGTTGTCTTGTTCTAAGTGCAGCTGCCTGGTTGTTTTGGACTGCTTTGCTTCAGGAATAGATGGAATTGAGCATATGTCAGTAAGGTCCATTACCAACTGCATTGCTTCTTCCTGTGTGGGCAAAGAGTTCAGAGACTCATCCACTTTGAAGGGTAAGTCCATGCAGTAATGACCTTCCTGCATACAAGTAGACTTCTCCAAGATCTCCATTAACCTCAGGTCTCCTGCTTGTCCTCCAGTGACTTTTCATTGAAACCCTGATTATACTGGGACAACAGCTCTTCCAGTCTGACGATGGATATCCTGTTTGACCATATATGGTCGATATATGGTTTCTGACAACAACCATTTTTGCCCCTCAAATGACCGTTGACAACCCACCCCAATAGGGTTCTCACGGCATAAGGTCAATCACTTTGGCTGTTGATTATTTCTCAGGGTTCCATTAATTTTGGTGCATTAGTCCGGATCAAAATTTCAACATCAGCGTTCAATTCTGGAATACTGATTTCTTTCAGATATTCCCACCTTTCAATGTCTCGTTGAGTAGGGATGTTGCCTTTTGAGACTGGGATCGTTTCCTGTGTAAATGTTTCTGGGAGCTCAAGGAATTGGTTATTTAGACATTTAGACAATTTAGACACCTCCAGTCCTGCAAGTATTTGGCTTTCCACAACCTTTT